AGGTTTAGAATGAAAATTGAAGCAACATCTTCCGTGAAACGTCATACTTACGTTACACTGCAACGTTGAATCAATGTTGCTACTACGACATTGCTGCAACGCCAAATTCTCTGGTTAAAACATCGTTGAAGAACCAACCTGTTTTTCGTCCGTGGCAGGATTCGAACCCGGGATCGCTGTTGACCGCGCAATGCCTTAACAACCTAGCTTGACCGCGGCAGCTCGCGTGCATGAGCATGCAAGTGAAATAAGCTAAAGAATTGTTCGACTCCTTGAAAATTGAACTGCATTCTCTGGTCATTTATCGTACACTTATTTATATGCATTTCATTCAATGTTGCTCTGATAACATTAGTTCTATGCCGGTAAATAGGTAAACATTCAACGTACCGATAAGACCATTTTTCAACGTTGAAATAAAGTTGATTTACGTCCTTTATAGTTTTGGTCAGATTTCGACGTTGATCGGACGTTTAATTTTGGTTGTTCAGCATTTCAACCTGAAATCATTATTGTTTGAAAGTTTAAAAATAAATAAACATTAAACGTACCTATATCGACGTTGTTTCAACGTTGAAATAAGGTTGTTTTACGTCCGTTCTAGTTTTGGTCAGTTTTCGACGCTGATTGGTCGTTTAATTTTAGTTGTTCAGCAATTCAATCTGAAATCAACCAATAATTAACGTTATTTCAAAGTCAAATGCCTGCTTGGCTAGTAGCTATTTCAATCTGGCGCCAGTTTTTAAAAGACCCAGTGAAAGGACATATTTTTATTACACTTCTTGTTTGTCTGTCTGCTGCAAATCTTATTATCGATATTTAATACATTTCTACCTGTCAAATCGTTCTGAAAATTTCCACACTTGCGTAAAGTCGGAGACAATGCATGAATCAACTGATAGAATTAAAAAAAAATTTAAAATGTTTTATGTATAAAAATAAAATAGGAAATTCATTGTACACGTGTAACATCGGAGGCACCGGCCTCTTTGGAAGTGTGGTCTTTAAAAAGAAATTTTTAAACGCATATTATTAGATCTCCTGAGGACAGACAAGTCACTAAAAGGACAAGAATCGGCGAAAGGCAACACGAGGCTGTTCTTCAGCACCGACAACTCTTCTTTGTTATGTTATTTTAGAATGTAAGGTTGTAAATTAAATTCTAGGAGGCACCAGTTGGAAACACTCGACTGGAGTGATAGACCGGACCTTAGACTAGTCGTTACCCAGCAGTCCTCCTCTGAACAACCCATTTCTAGGCATGGTTGACGATGACCATTGCGCCTTTACTTGCTTTTGTTCGAGTCAACCTACCCTGCCTTTATTGGTAAGATGTTCCGCCTAATTAACCAAATTGAGATTAGACAATAAATATGCTGTATCTATTTCACATTCAGTTGTTATTTACTGGTAATAGTGCGATTCCATAATTAACGTGCTTAAAAGATTACTAGTTTCAGTCAGTTTATAAGTATTATTATTTTCAATGTGCAGGGTTGCTGCTGATCTCGTGGACTGGACTCGAGGTGGCACTCTCAGAGCTTGTTCTTGAAGCTGCTCGTGCTTAACGTTCACCACGTGAACCGACTTCTTACTTCGAAGATTGAAGAAGTGCAGCAGATTATCCTGTTTAAGGAATTCGCAGATGTCGCCTGTTTATCGGTAGACTGAATAGCTAATGTGCCAGATAGTTTGATGTATATATGGTGTTATCTCTTAATGTAAATTTTGCTTCTTGCTTTGTTCTATTAAATTTTTGGTGTTCCTAAATGTTTGAAGTATCCGAGTGAGTGAAACGAACCCCGATGAAGGACAGACTTCATTACATAGAACTCGATTTAAACATGATTTAAAGTGTAATTTTGAATTCAATATAGTATTAACACAGTCTGCTCTTTAATTAACCTTCATCAAAAGTTATCAGGCATGAGTTATGCCCTAAAAGATACAAAATATTATTCTTTCACTATATAAACAAAAGAAATCCAAATAGCGAAGCCCTTCTTACGTAACTGCCTTTTACGTGGTTCATTCTGACCCAGTTTGTCCAGCAAAATCAGTGCTCCGTGCTCTATCTTCTCGTGCTGAGGGCAGTAAAATGAGTCACTATCTGGACAATGCGACCCGTTATTTTACTGAGTGGATGTGGTTAATGGAGCGCAATTATGTCATTATGTGTTACGTTATTATAATAACATAACGAAATTATGTTATTATTATTGCATCGTGTATGTCGTGCCTCCTACTTGCTGCTCGTGTGTATGTCGTGCCTCCTACTTGCTGCTCGTGTGTATGTCGTGCCTCCTACTTGCTGCTCGTGTGTATGTCTGTCTCTTATACACATCTAGATGTGTATAAGAGACAGGTGCGATGCACGTCACTTAGCAGTGCGATGCACGTCACTTAGCAGTGTGATGCACGTCACTTAGCAGTGCGATGCACGTCACTTAGCCTGTCTCTTATACACATCTAGATGTGTATAAGAGACAGGAATAGAGGGACGGGATGGAGAGACGGGATAGAGGGACGGGATAGAGGGACGGGATGGAGGGACGGGATGGAGGGACGGGATGGAGGGACGGGATGGAGGGACGGGATGGAGGGACGGGATGGAGGCTGTCTCTTATACACATCTAGATGTGTATAAGAGACAGGGTTAATATAGCGCAGTTATGTCATTACGCGTTACGTTATTATAATAACATAACGAATTTATGTTATTTTGCTGCTCGTGTGTATGTCTTGCCTCCTACTTGCTGCTAGTGTGTATGTCGTGTCACAATGTTTTAAATGGTTGTCATGGAGCCATAATTTTATGGTTCAATTTACAGATTCCCGAAGTCATACCTTAACGTTTGGCTTAAGAAGCCTTGAGTGCTCAGTACAGGAGGTGGATATGAGGCCAGACTTTACTAATGTTGTGACGTTTAAACACGCGATGCTAAATAGCAGTGCAATGCACGTCACTTAGCAGTGCGATGCACGTCACTTAGCAGTGCGATGCACGTCACTTAGCAGTGCGATGCACGTCTCTTAGCAGTGCGATGCACGTCACCACGTCACTTAGCAGTGCGATGCACCTGTCTCTTATACACATCTAGATGTGTATAAGAGACAGGTGTATGTCGTGCCTCCTACTTGCTGCTCGTGTGTATGTCGTGCCTCCTACTTGCTGCTCGTGCGTATGTCGTGTCACCTACTTGCTGTTCATGTGTATGTCGTGCCTCCTACTTGCTGCTCGTGTGTATGTCGTGTCACAATGTTTTAAATGGTTGTCATAGTGCCACAATTTTGTGGCTTAATTCCCAGGTTTCCGAAGTCATGCCTTCACGATTGGCTTAAGAAGCTTTGAGTGCTCAGTACAGGAGGTGGATATGAGGCCAGACTTTACAAATGTTATGTCGTTTGAACACGCGATGCTAAATAGCAGTGCAATGCACGTCACTTAGCAGTGCAATGCACGTCACTTAGCAGTGCGATGCACGTCACTTAGCAGTGCAATGCACGTCACTTAGCAGTGCGATGCACGATTTATAATGGTATTCGTACCTAGTTTTAAGCTATCTCAGTTTAACCTCTCAAAAGAGTCGAAACTAACGCGTTTCGAAGACATTTTAGTGAGCTCTTACGTGAATTCTTCACCGCGACTCACACCAAAAGAACCGCCTTGAATTTCCGTTAAAATCACAGCCCTTCGACACGCGAACGGTAAAACCTAATGGCTTGAGAGATCGCATTTACGAGGCGAGTGTCACTCACACGCGGGGCTCCTGAGTGGAGGGAAGTCTACCCTCTTGGTGAGCCGGGCAGAGGGAAGTCTACACTCTTGGTTAGCTGAGCAGAGGGAAGACTATCTTTTAGTGTGCTGAGCAGAGAGAAGAAGACTGTCCTCTTGGTTAGCTGAGCAGAGGGAAGTCTACCTTTTTGGTGTGCAGAGTAGAGGGAAGTTCACCCTCTTGGTGTATGTGGGTGGAAGATAACACAGCGGCAATAATGTTAGAAAAGCTAAGCTTTACAATGTACTATATAATTTCGGTGTCAGTCTGTACACGCTACATAATATTTACGAATGCAGAGTGCCTGGATAAACATTTTTCCTACAATTCAATCTAAAGTTAGCTAAATTATCTCATTACATAAGATATTATAAAACATTACTTGTCACTTAGTTGAATTTATTTAAATATTGCGTTTTCACAACAAAATTTGAAATTCAACACAAAACTGGTAATAAATATTATTATAACCGTTTTTCGCTAGCGCAACTATATTGCGCGATGTCTGCTGTTCACACAATGACAATAAATAAGACATGGCGAATGTCTATTTGATGGAGTGATTTTAAAATGACATTTTACGCTAATTTTGGATGGAAGAGCTGTTATATTGGTTAACGGGACTCCGTATCCCGATAAAGCCTTACCATACGAGGCCAGTAGTGGTGTTCACCTCACCTGGACGTTACTGGTCGCCGGTGATTACCGTTTATTGGCCTCGTGTGAAGTGGTCTGGGGTGCTTAATGTAGTATTTGCGGTGACCTTAATAAATATTTCTTTAATATTATAACATCTGACCAGGCTACTGTACTGCAGGAGTAGCGGCACAAATATAAGAGGTACGAGACTTGGGAAGTTCAGTACATATCTCCGTGTCATAAGTGAGTGACGATTGGTAGCCGTGGTGGTACTTGCAGCATAGCCTTGAGTTGGTGCTCCTAAACGAAGTAAGGGTAGTGTTAACTGGGGTAAAGTAAATGTAGTTCTAAAGGTAAAGTGTAGAACTATTCCGCATATGAGCTAGGTGCTCGAGGAGGTAAGATATGAAATCGAAGAACCAGTTCCCGGAATGAGGACCTTAGGTAGCTATGGAAATCTCTGTGATGTCGAGAATCGGCAACGGCACAAACATGGCTTAGTCTGACATCATTATTAGTAATTATATACAACATTGTAGTATACTAACTACTCCGTTAACTGTTTCAATTACCCCGCTCACTGTATCAGCAGATTAGTTCACTAGTTCAGTCACCCCGCAATTCAGTCAACGGAGCTATTCGGCGAATGGCGGTGTGGCGGGCGGCGGCTCGGCTGCTGGCGGTGGTCAGCGCCCTGACGCGGCCCTCGGTGGTGGGGGGCGTGGGACTGTCCTTCACAGTCCAGCTGTCGCACGAAAGTTTCGATGGGGATCAGGAGATGATGTGGGCCGGCTCGCCTGTTGCCTGTGCGGGACAGTGTCGCCTGAACCCCGAATGTGGGGCTTTCGCTTTCAAAGCAAATGAGGTATGTTGACCGTTGAAGGTTGATAGTTTTACAGCTAGAAAGATAATCAATATGTTACTGAAGTTTCAAATTTCAAAACAAGAAAGCCCTCAAATGGTCCTTGATTACTGTTGTGTACTCCACTAGGAGGTTAAAGTTTAAGGGCCCTTGAAGGCAACTAATTCGACTTATTAACGGCATGCATATTCGTGATACATACGTAAGCTTCTGCCCAGAGCCTTCCACTTTGTGTTTGAAGTGGAGCCTGTAGTCAGCCTGCAGGCTCGGTACATTTGGCCAGTCCTACTCTAGTCAGACTCTCAGGAGTTTGTAAAGTCGTTGAAAATCGACAAAGAGATTCTGACTAGTCGCTGATTTTAATGGGGTGGCCAAGGACCCAGAATAACTTTTCGCCTAGTGTAGCGAACCTCGCACAGAATCGTGGGTGTTACTTCCTTTTGTTATGGTGGTGACACGCTTTCTAAACGCAGCACTGATACTAACGGCTAAACTGAGTGAGTGCGACCCACATAATGACAAATAGTACATGGTTATTCAGACGAAGTCTTACAAATTTATCGTGGAGTACGTTTATTGTAGGATTGGTCCTCTCCACTGGGCAGGTCCCGAACTGCGTGCTGTTCGTGCGGCAGACGAAAAACTCGCCGGGCCTCCCGGGCCTCTACTACAGGGGCATGTCCCTGTCCGGCGGCGACTACCTCTTCCGTCTGTCTCCTCCTGCAAACGACGTGCCCGAGTAAGTCAAACGGGGGTGGACACTAACAAATTCTTCATAGAAAACGTTCTATTTATTATTCGTTCTATTATTCATAGAACAGAGTAGAAGTGCGACAACAATAATTATTTGCTGGACGTTCCGATATTTTATCACCGAATTAAGGGGTTGAGCCCCAGTAATCTGTAATTATCGCCAGAGGCGGTACTCACAGTATGGCCGTAGACGTTTACTACGAACCTCAAAACAATGAGCTAAAACAGTTCAGAAGTTCGCAAGCCCAATGTTATCCTTCAATTCTTAGAGGATATAGAAAATGAACAAAGTTTTCGAAAAACCATATTGAAAATGTATTCAGTACTTTGTGTTAGCTACTTAATTGTTTGATTAGGTATTGAGAATACGCAACAATAGGAGAAACAAAATTTGTTTTCTGCCAATGAACACTTGGGTTACATTATATCTAAAAGGTTTCACTCTGAAATCTGCATTGTTCTTCAGCTGAGGAGGTTCCTTAAATGTACTTAATAATTTTGTATTCCATTGAATGTTCACTTGAATTGGAAATGTGGTCTTTATGTTTTTCCAGCCAGTTACTGGCTAAATGCCAGGCCATAGGACTGCGTCTGGTGCAAGTGCCGACAGTCCTGAAGGACTTGGTGGCGGTTCAGAGCCAAGGCAAGTTCTGCTACGACCTCAAGAGGACTTCAGAGACGGCCCCTTTCACCACCATGACTGGGGGACCCGTCAACGCCTCGCTGATGGTGATAAAGGATACTTCGAACACAGACATGACACCGCAGTGCATCGCGAGTCACTACAATTGGCTTTTTAGGATGCATTGCCCTGACTGGGGCGTCAAATCTGACGCCACTGTCTGCCAGTACAATTAAGCCATGAAATCTCTAAGCACTTGTTTCATGTTCTGAAACATGGCACGACTACATGCAAGTGAATTATACCACAGTTTTCTATCACTCATGTATTTATGTTAGCTGGTATGTTGATTCCATGAAAATATTCATGAGATTCAGGAGCAACCTATTATCTCTAAGCACAAATTCTCAATATTAGAATTTCGATCACAAGCACAAAGGTTAAATGCCGGACCAGGATTTTGGACTCAGCTACTTCTTTTTACCTACGAAAATCAGAACACGATAAATTTGGTTGAGCCCCATCAGACCAGATCAAACCCCGTCACACTCCGTCACTCTTGATCACACCCCATCACACTCCTGCTAAATCTTTTCTTCACACCATGCCACACCTTGTAACACCCTATTACACCCCGGCCGTCACAACCCCGTCACATTTCATCGCATCCGCGTCTTGGCGAGAGCGCAGGAAAAAAACGTTTCGGCCGTAAAATTTCACAGTATTTAGCCGGATATTTAACGCTGTTCTGATCAAATTTTTACAGCGGGTTTCGAAGGTATTGAAAATATTTGCTGGTTCTTGAATGAAAAAAATCACTTGAGACTCTCATGAAGTACAGTATCTGAGGAGAATATAGCGCTAACATAGTTCCTATATATTGCCATCTTTATTTTATTTGACGCACAGTTTGGATGACACAGTGCACAAAATACTCAGCATATCTGTTTACAATGTATTGTACACCTGACTGAAATATACTATTCACGGAAAGTGGAACTTTTTTTCGTAATTTTTGTGGCTTGAAGTTGGTTTCGTAACGTGTAAAAACGACCGACTACGTTTTCAAGTATTTGACCCCGTAAAGTTCGATAAATCCATAGGCTTCATCTTGATCTGCGCCATTCTGCAGCCAAGGAAGCTAGAATGTTTCGTTAGACGAGTCTCTTGCATTCTATATATTTAAAATCAGTTAGTAAGTTTCACTTTTGTCAGATATAGATAAGTTTCCAAAAGTGTGTTAAAAATTGTCATATACACGACTAGATAAGATTTCTGTTATATATTATATATTCATCCTATTATTGTGAAACCGTAAAAAAGAAATTGACTTGGCCGGTATATAGTTTGTACCCACAAGAAATCTGACGTTGAGTCAACGTTGATTTGTACGTTTTTCGTTGAATCAACGTCAGTAAAACGTTTTTCAACGTCATTTACCTGGTGGATTTATTTTCAGAAAAGGCATTAAAACATCTGCATATTAGCCAAATATTAAAATAGGATGAAATATTGAGAAATATTCGCTATTTTCGTCGATGAGGCGATTGAAAAATTGATAAGCATATACGTAATAGGAGGACTTCATATTGTAACTTTTGTGGGACAAATTTATATATTATCCTTAAATGCTGGGTTCTCGACCATTCATTCCCACTTCCTCACGACCTGG